AAAAAACCCAGGGATCTTCCTTTGAACTCACCGGACTCTGGGAATGTGAAATCTCCCCAGATAATATTTTCCATGCACATTTGGAGGCCTTCACAATGCCAGAATTCATTGAGTGTCAAAAGCACTGTCCCATCTGTGGTCAACAAGACTGACATCAAAACGGCGGGGAAAACAAAACCCTGCAACAACATTTTTAGTGTTAAAGAATCAAGGCATTACTTTATYCTRGCCAGRATGTTGTTCTGGCYAGGATGTGCAACAGAAATCATTTCATCCACACATTGCCCAGGTGTGCAGAGAAAAATCATTCCATGACACATGAATTTTACTTTTTCATAAACTTTATACAGTCAAAACCTGTAGAAATTCATTGGTTCAATGTTCATTGGTCCCAAGTTGTGCAGTGCTTAGTATTTGGTTTTCTATTGGATACAGATTTCTCTGACTCTGATGCTAACTTGGTCCTCATTCTTTYCTCTCTTTTCCCAGASCAGGTGTCTCCAACCATGCCAGGGGTGATGCTGGAGTTGATATTCATTAATGGTCATTGGTGGTCATTATCTTTTGTGTAACTCCCAGTGTGTTGAGATGCTAAGCTCATCACTCCTTGAGTGATGAAACAGTMCTTTGAAAAGAAACTTAAAATTCCTTTCCCCCAGGGCAAAGGCAAATGAAACASCTGACTAAAGTTACATAMATTTTTTWAACTGGTATATTTTCCAACAGTCAGGTGACTTCTGCTGCAGGGAATACACATCAGATCCAAGCAGGAGGCAAGGAGGAGCATTGATGGGATAACAGAAGTGGAATATTTCCCTAACCCATTAAGGCTCTGCCCTGTTTAGGACAGATACAAACCAAGATACTGAGCAGCTGMAATACATGCCAAAATAATCCACCAGAACTGGGCTGAGGTTCTGGTGTCAAGTCAAATGACAGAAAATACTTGTAAATCAACCAGTGTCAAGCKCAAGCCTGTATCACATCTGATAAAACTCTTCGAGATGCTGAAGAGAAAAAAGTGTAATATTTTTCTCTAGACGGTCCAGTTCTTTGAGAAATTCAGCAACTTGAAGTCTTAAGACCATGGAAAATAATATTATAATGATCCATACTATAGCAYCCACACACTTTTAAGCTAAACATATAGGAGATACATGGTCACTYAGTGACTCACTTCCCTGTACTGCCTTGTAGGGAGCCACTGGATTGAAGCAGATTTCATTAAATGTTCCTAATCTATTCTGCCTCGTTGCTCTTTTGTAAACAGGGAAGTTCACTAGAGAGCAAGGCATTTAGTCCAAAAAGAGTATTGTGAGTGAATATGCAAATTCAACACACACCACCAAGGTAAGATTCCTCATTAGCCACTGAAATGGCTCRGAAGTTAAGGGCTTTTGTGTGCAGGGTACAGCACAGCATTCTTCCAAGCACTCGCTCTCTTTACAACCTCCCCTTGAAAAATTCTTTGACAGCCAATAGCAGCATGGTTTAAATCCCAATCTAGGTCAGAGAGAAATTTGCAGCTATAATTTTATTCCTTACTTTGTGGTTTGTCTTTTTGCCTTTCTTTTTGATCAGGATGATAGAAACAAAATTTTATTCATTCTCACCAGGATTAAAAAAAAAAAAAAAAAAAAAAAAAAAAAAAGTTACAAGGGAAAGGTAATGATTAATCCATTCTGTAAGAAAAGAGAAAAAATCTGATTGTGAACTTACTGGTATTATCTAACCAGTATAAATAGAAATGTACTCAGAGAAGGCATTGGATGACAAACCCATGATGAATTGTTAGGGCATGTTGAGTTGGTTCTGTCAATGCCTGCAGTCAGATGATTTCACTGGCTGTACAAGATGCAATCTCATATTTCAATGTTTAAGTAAAAGTGTCAAAGTTCAGCTGAAGCAGGGACGAWTACAGAACAAATTTTGTGTGTATTTGTAACTAGGGCACCAGAGCAACAGAGGAAGCCAAAATGAGCCGGAAAAGCAAAAGGAGTTTAAAGGAGAAATTTTCCTTGAAGAATAGCATGGTTAAAGAAGCCCTCTCAGAGTTCCTGGGAACTTTTGTACTGATAGTAAGTGTCAGATGCTTTCCTTTCTTCCTACTAATCTAATGTTGGACAGTGCTTGTAAGGGGACATGTACGTTTTACGCTGCTGTGCCAGCAGCGAGGTTACAGCCTGACCATGCACAGCTTGAATGAATTGCTCCTATGACGGTAAGTTYGTAATTCCTTTCTTCATCCCAAGTAATTATCCCTACCTACAAAAATCAGATAGTTTTATGTATTACAATTGTCTGATCARCATTAGATTTCATCTAGGAGCAGAATTTCAGTGAACATTCTGAAAAATCCAGTTCTGCACAATGAGTATTGTTAATACTTCTCCTGTTTTTTAAAAACTCAGCAGTTTGTTTTATGCTCCAATTCTGTTTACACTAACAAACATRTTGTACTGCACATTTAGAAAATTTTAGCTAAATTGTTGAGTTGTTTTCCTGTGCAATATAGAAATTTAGCTGTGTGATTTGTAGTGAGTTTATTGGGAGTTGCATTGCAAAATCTTTGAAGATTTTATAAGTTAAMCATTTTTTGCTTTGTTTTTAACTGTACTACATAAATTATACATATATTGCTTGGTCCTACAGCACTGCTATCACTTAGATAAATATCTAAATTGCCTATTTTTTTAACCCCAGGTTTTTGGTTCTTTTTCTTAACTTCTTGCTCAGTTTTTCTGTGCATTTTGTACTGAGACTGTGACTCACTAGGGGAGAGACCAGGCTAAGAGGCAGAGCTAGAAGTCAAGCAGCTAGACTATTTATGCCAAACTCTTTATTTCTTTCTCCTTTTGGTCTGAACAAGGCAGTCTTGCTTATTGCTAAATATTTCATCATAGTGAAAAGGACAARAAAAAARARMAAAAAAAAWGYAGGCATAGTACTGACATAGTAGGTTTTATAACTGTAACTATATTAGCTAAATTTCACGTAAGTCATCTAAAAATTCCAGTAGCTCATAAAATAATGGAAATTATGGTCTTTACTACACTTCAGCTAACTGAAGTGTGCCAGCACTAAAATAACATTATTCTCAAATTTAATACCATCCATAAGACATTATTACAGTAAGGAGCACATTTAGAAGCAAGRAGCACAGAGCACTTTACAAACATTAATGAACTAAGTGTCACAACACCCTGGTAAGGAGGGGAAATGTCATTACCTTCATTTTGTATATTAGCAAACCTGATTACAGCAGCCTGCACAGGAAGCCTGAGGCAGAACTCTGAATATAACCCACATCACCTGACTTCCAGTACTCTGTCCTCGCCACAAGATCCTCCTCCTCTTTCCATTAAGGAAATTAAGYAAGAGAAGAAAACGTATTAAAGCGCAGATTACACTGCAAATGCTATTATTTAAGGTCCTGCTGCACAAGGCTAGAAGGAAATGCAAACCCAGATCCCCTTTTCTGCTATATTCACCATATGAATGTAGTAGAAAATGAAGGTACAAAATTGTTTTTGATAATCGGAGTTTCTAATTTCTCTTACCCTTTCTAGTTTCAACTTTAAAGCAAAAAGAGACTCACCTAGATTAAACTGCAGCTTTCTCAGTGCTTGGATATCTCAACTTGTTTTTAGACTGCACAAGTTAGCAGCAGTGCAATGTCTATTGTGCAGAAACTGCCCTTTCTGCTGTTGTTTATTGCTATYGCTTTGCAGATTTATCAGCTAGTAAGTACTTTAAGTACAGATAAATATTAAACCTTTAATTTAAATTAGAGCTAATGAAAGGTGTGCCTTGGTAAGTCAGAGGACAGAAATCCTTGAAAAACAGACACCACATAGGCAAAAGAAGTGACAATAATAGGATGGTTGAAGAAAGCTATGTCTTAATGCTGTTACAAAGTGAGAGGAGAGTTCACAGCCTAAAGTACAGCTGATTCATGTGTTTGTCACTGTGATGGATTTAGAGCCTATGGAGAGCACCTGAGCCAGGGAGCAAGGCTGAGACWCCCTTTTACTCACAGGCTCTGTCTGCAAGCCAATGCTAACTGACCACACCTAAATCTGGGACCCACTGCTGGGAGTTAGCYGGGTGAAGTTCTGTCCCTCCAAATCATTTAATTCTATTTTATCTGGAGAATAACATCACAGGCCACATATTAACAGGAGCTTAAACTACCAACTAACTCTCAGCCTTGCAACATGACTTTCCAAACAAGAAATCTAGAAATTGAAATCACTCATCAAACAAAAACCCAGCCTTCACCTTGGGGTGTGAAGGGTGTGGCCTGAAATGTCCGAGAGATTTGAGACAACAAGCCTTGAGAAAGGCACTGGGCACACAGTTCGGATAACATCTCCTGGTCAGCCCTACTGAACTTGCTGCAATTTGCCTTGCAGCATGGTTTCAGAGCACGTAGCAAAACACTTTCTGGGTGAAAATAAAGTAGAAGGTGATATCCAGAATCATAGGAAATGTGTTGACCATTAAGGGATGTTCAGTCCAGTGGATCAGACTGGACATGTTCCAAATAAGTAATCCCTCCTGAGAGATCCATGGTCAGGTTCTCAGGTGCTTATATTACACAACTTGATAATAAAGACACAGCCCATGTGACCCCACTCTCTGCTTAGGAGAGCACCCAATTTCAGTAAGAAAAACTAAACTCCAGGAGCCTGGAAGCATCCTGAGGTGGGAAAATACCTGCCCATTTGCACCATGTGGCTGAGAGCCAGCGCACACACACATTTCCCAGCCTCAGCCTCAGCCTTCTGCAGCTGGGACTGCCCCCAAGGTCTCCCTTTAGGAAGAGCTCTCYGTTCTCCATCATGTCCCCTGGTTCAGTGCATTCCCTCTTGGGGCTCCTGTGAGTTACTCTCGGGGACAACATCTGTGTGCCAGCACAGAAGAGTCAGGAAGCCATGCTGCACCAGATAGGTTTATGTGGCTTTTTAGTGAGTCTGGCTGGAACTTACCTATCCAACTGCTTCTCTGCTTTTAATCATGCTTCTCTCTATATTCCTCTTTGGAACTTGAATGCATTGGTCTCAACCAAAATGGGATTAACTCTGATTTATGCCATTATGTATATCTGAATTGAAASAGTTCCAAAAAGAGATGCCAAATGGGCCATGTGGCTTCCTTTAACAGCTACTGCTCACCTAACAGTGTGTATTTCATTTTCACTCTCAAGAGCATCTTATGAACAGAGTTTCCCAGAAAGGAGCTGCACAGGAGCCAGGATCTCCTGAGGCCASAGCAGCGTACACTTCTTTGCTGAGACAAAACACAGGCTTCCATTTAGCACAGAAATACAAGTGGGGKGTATATATCCTCCTAATATATATACACATGTACATATATATATATACATATATATACACACAWRTATTCCTATAAGCCTGATCTCCAGCTGGTGGTAGGGAGCCTCTTGCAACTCCCATTGAAGCAAATGTTTGTGTGTGCTTAGAGGATGCAGGCACAAACATGAACTGAATACATTACAGCCCTGAAACAATCCAGCTGGTGAGGAAGGCTATTTATCATCAAAATATTTTAGCCTTTTTTCATATTCTGACCACTTCATTACGCATGCTATCACTCCTGCTCTGTTACAGAGTTGAGTCTCATCAGAAAAAAACCYGCAAAGATTGACATTACATGGATTTGCTCAGTCCAGAAGATTAAAATTTAAACAACTTTTCTATATCTRTTTTTGTGGTCCTACATTTTAGTGCATGTTAACTACAATGCTGTAGGGTAACATACATCCCTTATTCCAAACGTGCATTACAATTCTCATTAMGTGATGTTATTACATGAAAGCAAAAGTAGCTTTTGATCCTTTGCTCCTTAAGTAAGTGTTTAACAYTTAACACAGAATCACTACTTAGAAATTGTAAGTAAAGATTAATTYCATGTTCTAAATTTTTGTAAAAGGGAAACTTTTCTTTCTGCATACGATGAAATTACAGCAAGTTTTGTTTAAGGTATAAAATCAAATAGCAGTACTTTCTAACACTGCCTTGTTTGCTATCAGCAATTAATTTTTCTGGACTACAGAATCTTCTATAATTACCTCTCAGTTTGTCAACTGAGAACAATATCAGTATTATATAATAACCTCAGAGAAGAGGTTATTAAAATTTATTTATAATTGGTATTTAAACATGTCACTAAGCTTTTTTACTATTATATAATGCTACAAATACCATGAGCCTTAGCAGTGTTTGCACTTTGAAAAGCAGCTCTTGTGTCAGAGATCCATACATTTGGGCCTCTAGCAGCAATAATATAGTACAACCAATAAGTAATAGATGTCACTCATGAATACAACCTTATGGTTCTATATATTTTGATGGCATTAAATTTTGCTWATGATTCTGGTGAAGATATACAAAGTCTTCCTCTTTTTGAAAYTGTATGAAACCAGCATCACAAACAGAAGACAAAGTGGCAACGAAGACCCATAGTTGTGCTGAGCTTAAGGAGGTGTTCTGGCATAATGGTGTTATTTCTATAATTTTACTACTATCAAAACAAATTTATTTTCTAGACAGCCCTTTTGTTTTAGAAGTCATTCTTTAATTCAGCTGACTATTTAGCAGTGTAAAAAAATTGAAAGGAAAGTTACCTAATTGTTCTTTTACCMCAAAACTGTGGGAAATGTTTTGTTTCCAAACCAAAGAGGTTTCCCTGTATATAGCATTCCAAACTTTGAGGTGACTCWGATGTTGTGTTTAATGAAAGCTTTGAAGAAAATTATCTTCATTTCTGCAATGTCAGCCCCAGCACATAACTCAACTCTCATTGTTTAACCAAGAGGTTCCAGTAAGTTGAAMTTAATTTTCCAAAACCCTTTTCTGTAGAAGGAGAAAACTTTTTCCCAGAAAGTTTGCCTCTATAGGATTGAAGTGTAGGCACCTCTGCCTGAGCCTGGTATTAGACTTGCATCTTTCCAACATTCAACTGTGAGTGCAAAACTTGAATTTATGTTTTGCAGACACAAATTTACAAGGTGTTTTTTCAAAAGTTTCACCAAATAAAAGAAAGGTAATAAAAG